GTTGCATAATGTAGTTTCTTTCTCTACTGCCATTTTCCTATTTCTTTCAAACATGTTTCTTGTACTATATAGACACTTATTTACTATATATATTATAGTCAGTGAAATTGTTCTCACCTTTTACCCATTGGTCGTATTTGATAAGTGACAGCAGTTTTATGCATGTTAAGTCAGCAATACCTGTTTTAAGGGAAAGATATATTATTAATTACTAAGTACATTAGTTTTATTTCCTCTGAGCATGGGATAATTCTTAGCTGTATAATTGTAGGCAACATGGCATAAGAAATAAAAATGAGATTTGAAAATTAAAAATATCATGGTTAGGGACAAGTCACTTTGCTTTTCAAAAAATTATTTATTATTCTTTATAACTGACATAAGACTGTATTTGCTGTATATAACATATGTTTTTTTTGGGTTTTGTTTTTAGTTTTTTTGTAGAGATGAGGCCTTGCTGTGTTGCCTCGGCTGGTCTTAAACTCCTTGGCCTCGAACAGTCCTCCCACCTTGGCCTCCCAAATTTCTGGGTTTATAGGCATAAGCTGCCATGCTCAGCCCAACATATGGTTTCAAAGTACATATATATTGTGGACGAGTAGCTAATTAGCATGTGTATTACCTCACATAGTTTTATTTCTGTGGTGAGAACACTTGACATTCACTCTTTTGGCATTTTCTAAGAATATATTGTTAACTTTAGTCAACATACACTACAGTAGATCTCTTGAACTTATTTTTCCTATCTTACTGAAATTTTGTATCTTGAATAACTTCTCTGCGTTCCCCCCTACCCCCAACAACCTCAGGCCCTGGTAACCACCCTTCTAATCTCTACTTCTATGAGATCAAACTTTTTAGCTTACTCATATATGAATAAGATCATCTGGTATTTGTCTTTCTGTGCCTGCCTTATTTCACTTAACATACTGTCCTCCAAGCTCATCCACATTGTTGTAGATAGATAGTAGATAGTAGTAGTTCATGACTTATGTGAGAATTAAAATAAATATAAAAGCACTTTGTAAACTATAAGACTGTTTGAGGCTGGTGGCTCATACCTGTAAGCCCAACACTTTGGAAGCTGAGGCGGGTGGATTGCTTGAGCTCAGGAGTTCCAGATCAGCCTGGGCAACATGGAGAAACTGGTCTCTGCAAAAAATACAAAAATTAGCTGAGTGTGGTGGTGCATGCCTATAGTCCCAGCTACTTGGGAGGCTGAAGTGGGAGGATCACTTGAGCCTAGAGGCCAGAGTCTGCAGTGAGACGAGATCACCCCACTGCACTGCAGTTTGGGTGACAGAGCAAGACTGAGTCTCAAAAAAGAAAAAAAAGACTGTTTAATAATATTAGTTATGTATAACACTGGTCTAGTGAAAGAAAAGATTTTATTGATAAGAAACAAAGTATTTAGCAGCTTACTTTAGTACAGTCATGCACTGTATAACGACGTTTTACTTAACGAAGGACCACATATATGATGGCAATCCTTTAAGATTATAATGGAGCTAAAAAATTCCTATCAATTAGTATTTACTATACCATATTATTTGTTGTTTTTTTGGAGTACACACACACACACACACACACACACACACCTGTGAAACAGCCTCAGGCAGGTTCTTCGGGAGGTATTCCAGAAGAAGGCATTATTATCATAGAAGATGACAGCTCCGTATGGACTATTGCTTCTGAAGACCTCCCAGGTGGAAAAAATGTGGAAGTGGAAGACAGTGATATTGATGATCCTGACCCTGTGTAGGATCAGGGTCGTGTGTGTGCTTAGGCTAATATGTGTGCTTATCTGTGTTTGTGTCTTTGTTTTTAACGAAAAAGCTCAAAAAGTGAAAAAAATGAAGTATTTTTAAATAGGAAAAGCTTATAGAATAAGGATATAAAGGAAGAATTTCTTTTGTACAGCTGTACACTGTTTGTGTTTTAAGCATGCTATTACAAAAGTCAAAATGTTTAAAGTATTAAAAAGTTTATAAAGTAAGAGTTACAGTAAACTAGGTTAATTTATTATTGAAGAAAGAAAAATATTTGAAAAATATATCTACTGTAGCCTAAGTATACAATGTTCATAAACTCCACAGCAGTGTATAGTAATGCCCTAGGCCTTCACATTCACTCACCACTCACTCACTGGCTCACCCAACTCCACTTCCAGTTCTGCAAGCTTCATTCATGTTAGGCTCCTGTACAGGTGTACCTGTATTTCCACTGTATTTTATACTGTTATACTCCTTTAATTTTTACAGTATCTTTTATACTTTAATACTCCTTTAATTTTTATTGTATCTCTATTATGTTTAAAAACACAAAAACTTACCATTGTGTTACAGTTACCTATGGTATGGAGTAGTCATATGCTATACAACGTTATAGCTTAGGAGCAATAGATTGTCCCATGTAGTCTAGGTGTGTAGTAGGTGTGTCAGTACATTCTAGGATGTTTGTGCAGTGACAACACTGCCTCATGATAAATTTCTCAGAATATATCCTCATTAAGCGACACATGATTATATTTTATTTTGAGGCAGAGTTTGTTCTAACAGCTGATCCTTTTCCCCACTAATTTTTTTTTGCTACATATTCTCTTTCACTTTTTTGGTTTATTATTCCCCTTATATGTCTAATAGTATGTTTTATGCTACTATTAGTATAAAACAATGCTCATGGATGACCTCTTTATGGTATCTTACTAAAAATCCAGATAATAAAATCTTTGAACATGTGCAAAAACATGGTAGTAAATATGGAAAGTGAAAATATACATTATTGAGGTCCTTTTGAGATATTTCATTCTGTAAGTTCACAATAGCAGAAATAACCACCATGTTTCCAAACTGTCAAAATATATATTGGTAATTATGCTGGTATTAATACACATCTCATTTCCATACTTTCTATAGGGTTTCTTTAATGTTATTAATATAATATTAAGCAGGGGATTCTTCTTTTCAGGTGACTTGAGGGCCATTTCTGACCATATCTTTTGAGCATTTCTTAGTAAGGAAAGGTGAAATTCAAATGACTGGCCAGATGTGGTACCATGTGGTAAGAAACCTCTTGGTTTCTTCCTGTCATTGCTCTGTTTCTTCTGAGAAAAAAAAAAAAAAGACAGTTATAGTTAGGAAGACTTGTCCCAGTTTTATGCATGCCCAGTGCAATTCATGCTCTGCTTGAAAGTGATTCTGCATTTTGTCTGTAAAACAAACTCAGGAGGCTTCATCCAGGACCACTTTACACAGCTTCAAAGAAGAATGCAGATGTGACATAGTATGAATGCTAACAGCGATAGTGCAGTCTCACAACACCCAGGCGAGCTTCTGAGGTTCCCACATTACTTCCAGTGACCACAAATAACTTTGCCATCCACTAGCTCTTAAAACTCTTCTTTTTATTGCATAAAATGCCAGTAAAAAAAAAAAAAAAAGAAGAAGAAGCTGGAAAATGCATGCATGTAAATACACAGCTGGACTTTCTCCTGTAGGCTAGGTTGCAATAATTATAGATAAAGCCTTTAGGGTATTCCATTTCACAAAGAATGAATTCTTCTTTACATGACCTTACTCCTTTTCCATCCTCTAAATCAATATGTTCAACAAACATTTCCTAAACGTATGCTAAGTAGTAAGCTGAACACAGAGATATGAATAAAATGTGGTCTTATTCGCTTATAGTCTCCCTTGGTTTGAGGAACATATAAGCTAACTGCTTAAAGTTGTAAAGAATTTATTTTGTAACCAGGTACGATGGCTCTCGCCTGTAATCCCAGCACTTTGGGAGGCTGAGGTGGGCGGATCACAAGGTCAGGAGTTCGAGACCAGCTTGGACAACATGGTGAAACCCCGTCTCTACTAAAAATACAAAATTAGCCCTACATGGTGATGGCTCCCTGTAGTCCCAGCTACTCAGGAGGCTGAGACAGGAGAATCACTTGAACCCAGGAGGCAGAGGTTGCTGTGAGCCGGGATCGTGCCACTGCACTCCAGCCTGGGCGACAGAGTGAAACTTCGTCTCAACAACAACAAAAAAGAATTTATTTTGAAGGAAGAGTCAAACAATGAAGATAACCAACAGTTATTGACTTGTAGAGACAGGATAGCATAGTAATTAAAAGCTTGGACTCTAATTTCACCACTTTCTCAAACAATGAAGATAACCAACAGTTATTGACTTGTAGAGACAGGATTGCATAATAATTAAAAGCTTGGACTCTAATTTCACCACTTTCTAGTGTTGACCATAGGAAAAGTTGTTTGATCATCTGATGTCTGTTTCTTTATCTACTAAAATAATTAGTAACAGAATTTTACCTCATAGCCTTGTTGCCGGGCTTAAATGATTTAATAGTTGTAAGGCACTTAGAACAGTGCCTGGAGCCAAAAATTGTTTAAAATTAATTAAAATGCCTTGCTGATATCAAGGATAGGTCTAATATTAGGAATGCACAGATGGTATTAGTCATCTATTGTTGTGTAACAAATTACCCCAAAACCTAGCAGCTTCAAACAACAAATGTATTGCTAGGCATCTGAATACCTGGTTAGCTATTTATTTCCGACTCAGGGTCACATAAACACAAAGCAGTACCTGGCCGGGTACGGTGGCTCACGCCTGTAATCCCGGCACTTTGGGAGGCCAAGGCGGGTGGATCACCTGAGGTTAGGAGTTTGAGACCAGCCTGACAAACATGACAAAACCCTTTCTCTACTAAACATACAAAAAATTAGTGGGGCGTGGTGGTGGGCACCTGTAATCCCAGCTACTGGGAAGGCTGAAGTAGGATAATCGCTTGAACCAAGGAGGCGGAGGTTGCAGTGAGCCGAGATAGCACCACTGCACTCCAGCCTGTGTGACAAGAGTGAAACTCTGTCTCAAACAAAAACAAAAACAAAAAACAAGGCAGCAACTAAGCTGTGAGTTGGGGCTACAATCATCTTAGGTCTTGACTGGGGATCAGCTTTTAAGTTCATTCTTGTGATGATTGACAGGTCTCAGGTCTTTGCAATTTGATGGATGTAGACATCAGTTCCATGCCACTTGGACCTCTCCATGGGACATTTTATAACATGGCAACTGGCTTCTCTCAGATGGCAGGATGGAGGAGGTAAGAAAGAGCACCACAAAGGAAGCCACTGTTTTTGTGATGAAATGATCTTCTATCACTTTTACTGTATTTTGTTCATCAGAAACAGGTCACTGGGTCTGGGCCACCCTCAAGAGTAAGGATTTACATAAGGGTCTGAATACCAGAAGGTGGATTTCTTTGGTGACCATCTTATGAGATACCAACCACAGAGATGATTAGTATTTTTTTTTTTTAGCATATGCATGCTATATAGAATGTATTTAACTACAGAGTGTATAGAAACTGTATTTATATAGTTCTTCCAGTAAGAGAAAAATGAAAGACTTTTAAAATCTCCAGAGATTTGGCAATCTTTGAATGCACTTTATTTGCTCAGCTTAAAATTTGTCTCAGATGACACGTTTTCATTAAAGTTTCTGTTGTCTGTCTTTAAAAGATAGAAAGATTGGCCGGGTGCGATGGCCCATGCCTGTAATACCAACACTCTGGGAGGCTGAAATGGGTGGATCATCTGAGGTCAGGAGTTCAAGACCAGCCTGGCCAATATGGTGAAACCTTGTCCCTACAAAAAATACAAAAAAAAAAAAAAAGCTTAATGTGATGACCGGTGCCTATAATCCCACCTACTGGGAAGGTTGAGGCAGGAGAATCACTTGAACCTGGGAGGTGGCGGTTGCGGTGACCCAAGATCGCACCATTGCACTTTAGCCTGGGCAGCAATAGTGAAACTCCATCTCAAAAAAAAAAAAAAAAAAAAAAAAAAAAAAAAAAAAAAAGGTAGAAAGACCATGGGTAACTTGAAAGTCAAGTGGAAGTCCTCCAGGGTTGGAACTAATACTGCTTTTCTCTGAAGCTCTTGTTCCACTCTGATTTGTGGATTTCCTTATATAATTTAGTCAAGACTATGGCTTCTTGGAAGAAATCTCAGAAGAACTCAAATATAATAGCTTCTTTGTCCATAAGGCCCCAAAAGTGTGATTCACAGAATATTTTGTCCTTCATGGCTCATGAGAAACCACGTTGCCTTTAAGTCATTGACTTAAAACTAAATTATAAGGATGAATCACAAGATGATGTAAAGAAAGTGCCTGTTGGCCGGGCGCAGTGGCTTATGCCTATTCTAGCACTTTGGGAGGCCGAGGGACGTGGATCACAGGTCAGGAGATCGAGAGCATCCTGGCCAGCATGGTGAAATCTCATCTCTACTAAAATAGAAAAAAGTAGCAGGACATGGTGGCGTGCACGTGTAATCCCAGCTACTCAGGAGGCTGAGGTAGGGGAATCACTTCAACCCGGGAGGCAGAGGCTGCAGTGAGCTGAGATTGCGCCACTGCACGCCAGCCTGGTGACAGAGCAAGACTCTGTCTCAAAAAAATAAAAGAAAGAAAAGTGTCTGTTGAATTTAATATGGATAATCAACCTGCATAATCCAAGAAAAAGAGAAAAATAGTGTTCTAAGACAAGCGATGCTATGATTTTATTGAAGCAGTGAGATGTATTCTGTTTACAAATTCAGTTCAATCAAATACATATGACTAATATTTTTGTTACTAATTAATTTGTGTAGACTTTGAAAAAGTATCTTTGAACTATGCAATTTATGTGAACTATTTTTGAAGTATATTTGGAAGATAAAAATTTTTTTATAGTTGCTTTTTCAATTAGTATTCCTCTGCTTATATTGTACCTGACCTCTTTTAAAACTTTAAATGAAGAGTAAAGAATTCAACATTCTCTTGCAAGGTGCATTCCAGATGAAATGTTCTTCAATGCTGTTTCAAAAACATACAGAGTTGTTCTGAATTTTAATTAGACTGGCAACGAACTCTTGTTCCCCAGAAATGTGAATAGTAAGACACAATTTCCTAGCATCATTGTAACAACAAAAACAACAACAAAAGTATGTTTCAGTATGCCTTTTGATGAGCAGAGAAAGTACAGAAACTTACTATTAAGAGATATATTGTTTACATTAATTAAAAAATCTATACAGTAAGTGAATTTTGTTGGAAAAAAATAATTATTTCTATTTTCTGATTAGAAAATCAGCAGCTCAGCTTCTCATCCTACTTCTCTATTATTTCTGAACCCTTCTTTATTAATTACGCTCCCTTTCTATTGCATCTTCTTTGTCTTCCTCCCCACTAACCTCTTTTTCTCTGCCTGTTCACAGGCCCAGGTCTCTTATTTATAAACAGAAAATAAAACAGAAATTTTCCTTTAGCCATGCCATTCCCTTGAGGAACTGACCTATCATGCGACTTTCTAGCCAACAAACTCTTTAAGAGAAACTGATTCTATCCTCTATGCTTTTTTATCCTTGCATTCTTCAACCCTAAATAATCTTTCTCCTTAACTTCCTTAGCAAGTGAACAGCAGCTGTCACATGTGATTGTGTAATAACACAAACGATGATCCCATTTCAACTTTCATCGACCTTGATAAGTTGTTGATAACTAACACTGATGCCCCTAACCCTTTCTGCAGAAATCAATCACCCTGGCTTTCTTGATATAGAATTTTATAGTTCTCTTATCTCTCGCTAAAGGAAGAAAAAGAGAGAGAGAGAGAGTGAGACAGACAGAGAGAGAGAGAGAGGGAATGGTGAGGGAGACTTAATATAAAGAATTGGTTTACGCTATTATGGAGGTGGAGAAGTCTGAAGATCTTCAGCTGGCAAGCTAGAGACCCAAAAGAGCTGATGGTGTAGTACCAGTTCAAGTCAAAAGGCCTGAGAACCAAAAGAGCCAGTGTTCTAAGTTCCAGCCCAAAAGCTAGCAGACTTGAGACCCAAAATGAGCCATTTCGGTCTGAGCCCAAAGGTTGGAAAAACCAACTTCCCAGATCGAATAGTCTGACAGAATTAATTCCCTCTTACTCAAGGGAGGGTCAAAGTTTGTCCTGTTAAGGTTTTCAGCTGATTATATAAGGGCCATCCACATTACAGAAAGTAATCTGCTTTACTCAGTTTAACAATTTAAATATTAATCTTATCTAAAAACACCCTCACAGACACACTCAGAATAATGTTTGACCAAGTAACTAGGCACCCCATGTACCAGTCAAGTTGACATATAAAATTAACAACACACCACCACCCATTCTAAATTTCCCTTTCCCTCAGATGACACATAGCAAATCAGGGTTTATTCCTCCTAGGTAGCAGGATTGGGAAGTAACCTTGCCCAGAGCATTGCATTTTCCAGAATATTCTTTCTGTTTTCACAATATAGCAATGACTTATTTCCCCTTAAGATGTATTAATCACCCACTAAAATAGTAACATCCCATTTTCCTTTGTCGATTCGTAAACATGTGGACTCCCAAATGACCAGGTGACAATGCCATCTGCTAGTGCAGTGGGATAATTTGGTTTTTTTTTTGGCTGAGAACATTACTCCCTTGGGTACTGTTTTAGTTACAGAACAAGGTAACCTGCTACCATGAAGAAACCACAAAATACGGTAGCTCAAACAAGATCTTATTGTCCCCTCCCATGAGTCCAGTATTGGCAGATGGTTTAGGGCATAAAAGTATCTCTGCTTTATAAGATTATCTAGGGGCTTCATTCTTGTTCTGTCTTGTTGCTCTGTAGTGCGCTAGGGTTTTGTAGGCATTGTCAGAACTGGCTCACTTGATTACATCTGTAGCCTTTGTATGTATTTCTACATATGAATATGGAAAGAAAGTAGAGTTCAGGCATTTTCCATTATTAGGGATTTGACATGAAAGTTGCATGTATCCCTCTGCTCACACCCGGTTAGTCAGAACTTAACCACATGACTACCTAATAGACACAATGAAAAATTGTAACATGTAGTCTCTAACTGGGCAGCCATGTGCTACATACTTAGGGTGCTCTACAATTCAGATGTAGAAAGGGAGAATTAGTCTTGAGGACATTATTTGTATTGAAACCTCTAAAAAATTAGAGACCAAAGCTCCAGGGATAGAAAACAAAAATATGAATAAGACAGCAGGTATAATAGCAAGGTACCACTTTCACTCCTTGCTCCCAGGCTCATGTATTTTTGGTTTTGAGAGACTTGACATCATGCACTAGATGCTGGTTTGTAGCATATACCACATCCTGAAAGACAGTGTCCCAACCATGGTGGGATTGGTGCTTGCTGGGAGGATTCATGTTTCCTACTGTCCATCAGGGACACCCTGATTGTCATGAAATGCTACATTGGTCTACCTCTGCATGGTTATAACGTATCACATTTATGAAAACCAAGTCCAAATGTTTTCTTCCTCAATCTAGTGGTAATAAAGTCATTCTCATGAGACTTTATGAGGGAGAGGAGGCAGGGCAGTAAGAGTAGAGACAGTGACCAGGCATAGTGGTTCAAGTTTGTGATCTCAGCACTTTGGGAGGCTGAGGTGGGTGGATTATGAGGTCAAGAGATTGAGACTATCCTGACCAATGTGGTGAAACGCTGTCTCTACTAAAATACAAAAAATTAGCTGGGTGTGGTGGTACATGTCTGTAGTCCCAGCTACTCGGGAGGCTGAGGCAGTGGAATCACTTTAACCTGGAAGGTGGCGCCACTGTACTCCAGCCTGGCGACAGAGCAAGACTCTGTCTCAAGAAAAAAAAAAAAAGAGTAGAGATGGTGAGAATTTGAGTTGTCTCCTTATGCAACTCACCCATGTCTTTACATTGATTTCATGATGGAGTATTGCTGACAACATGTGATGATTTTGTGGGTTCAGTAACACCTAATCCATGCTGGACAGGTCAGGTTGCATGGCCATTTGGTATCTTATGATTGGGTGTTCAGTCTAACAAATCCTAGTAATAAAGTTGCAATTATTGCAAAAGAAGATAAAAAATATTTCCAATGAGGTTTTTTCCTCAGGGGGCATTCAATGAGTGTTTGCTATGATTTTCTTCCAGGAGCCTGCCATTGACTCCACCAAGTACCCTGATCAGTGCATTCATTTCTAGTACTAATGGGTCCATGAAGTCATAAGAACTAAGAGGCAGGGATGCTTTTGCTACAGCTTTAGCAGCTGTAAAACCTTATTTTTATCTGGGTTCCATTCAAAACCAGCAACCTTTTGGATGCCTTGCTAGTTTAGAAAAAGATGCCAAAAATTGTATGTTGCCTACCAAATTGAGAGAGGACCGTGGAGTGCATTTTATCTTTCTTAGTTGTGGGCAATGCAAGGCACAGAAAGTTGCCTTTCACGGTGGCAAAGATATTATAATGTTCTTTAGTTCACTGAGCACTATATTTTAATGGGCCTATCTTGGACCCTTTTGTGTACTGTGTCTTAGCTAGACTATTAGGTTAATTGGTTTTAATTGGTGTTCATAACATTCTATCTTTATAAAATTATCAGTATAAGAGTACAACTTGACTTACTGTGGAATGGTGAAATCATTTTCATTCCTATAGGCTAAAGTATGACACACAGGTAGCATTACCACACATAGCTGACATACTACACAAAACTGACATACCACAAGACAGGATGGTGAAAATATACTACTATCCATGCCCAGTGAAAGCAAACTG